ATAGGGCGGAAACTACGTAAGGAATGGTTCTGAGATGTGTCATGGGTTCACCCATCATAGTGATTTTCCAGAGAAATGTCGTGGAGAAACACCTGTGGTTTCTGCCAATAGTTACTAACTTCTATAGCGTCGAGTAAGAGTCAAGCACGTTTTCCACCTCCAACTCCAGCCGCCCGTGAGCATTCAACTAGTCTCACCTTTGCGCATAGGCGAACTTCATTGCCTCAATGAAATGATGTGTGGCTTTTGGGTCACTGAGGATGTCGGTTTTGTGGTTCTCCGGATAAAGCGCTGAAATTGCAGCATTGTGCCAAATTACCACTTCGACCATTTCAGGACTCCAAAGTTTACAGTTTACGTACCACTCATCACTGAAACAATCAGTTGCGTTACCACAAATGACGACGGTGGTGGTCCACCGCACATGACAAGATTTCCTCGGAAGTGGGCATTCGCTAACTGCTTGTATACCCGTGGTTTGTACGAGGCAAGATCTGCTTTGGTGATGATACCTCCTAAAAAATTTTATTATTTCTGCATGAACTTAATGACGCATGAGTATGCAAAAGGATACTGAGTGGCTTATCGTCCTCTGTGCAGGAGCACAGACTCATAGGACTGAGTCCAAATTCTTGAATCTCCATTAGGTGCTATACTCAAAACATAGGACAATTAGTTTACCCTATTTTCTTCCATGAGTAATGGCTTTTTCTTTACATTTCTAGCAAGTCATTTTGTCATGTGCTAGGAAATATCCCACAGAAAGCCCACTCGCCACCTTGGTTTATTTCGGTCGGATGCCCTTGCTGACTTTCAACTTTACTGAATAGTAAGGGAACACAGTATTCGAAGAATTTCTTCCAAGAAGGAAATACTTTGGTTTCTGTCTACATGCGCTCTTGTCATAGAAGGGATTATAACAAGTCGGCGTCCTTCTTCTGCACTTATAAGTCCGGTCATAAGCCGATTGGGCAGCTGCTCACGTATCCGTGGTTGTGAAAAATCAGTAGTAAACACTTCTAGAGTCAAGCTACAAAGTTTAAGAATTTTGATCCTCATTCTAATTCAGAATGTATGGAATTTTAAAAAAGCAAAATACATAAATGTAAAGCAGAGGGTTCCGAACTTCGCTTACCTCCCTCGGCCATCTCTCTCGCGATGGTTTCAGCCATTTCACCTCGATAGAACAGCTTGACAGGGTCCTTTGAATTGGCGAGTTTCTCCAACGTGTTAGCAAGTTTTAGTCGAGGAAGGAGATCGCCCATCTTATAGGTGGAGTTAGTAACAGGGTTGATCCATGCCCTGAAGTTTCCAAGGTAATCGGTAAATCGTTAAACTAAAATGCTTTTATGAGATTTATGACTGCATCTTTGAAGACAAAAATGATTACCTACTAGCTGAATGCTCACCATACGAAAAGCTAAGTGAATGGGTCCTCAGCTGCAGTAACATTCCATTTTTTCCGCTCGAAAAGTATGGGAAGCGCCGCCTGAGGACCCATTCACTTAGCTTTCCGTATGGAGAGCATTCAGCTAGTAGGTAATCATTTTTGTCTTCAAAGATGCAGTCATAAATCTCATAAAAGCATTTTAGTTTAACGATTTACCGA